TGTATGGGATCACTTGGAACTTTGCTGAAGGGGACTCTGTATGATAGAGTCCCCTAACTCAACGGATGATTTGTTTTGTCAGAAGGCAAGGTAGATACGCACCTTTATAGACTAACTAAATAATATCGAGAGAGAGCGAGCATAAGCATTCATAGACCCATGTTCACTTCATCAGATTTGTTTTGTGTCATAGCAAAGTGCTATGAATCCTCTTCCTCTAAAATGTATTTTCTTTCTGAGCTGTTACAGTAAGCAGGGTGCCAGTATGTATATCTTTTTTAAATGAGCTGAATTTTTTTTTTTTTTTTAACATATAGTACCTTTTGGCATGGCATTGCAGACAATGTGCAGTGGTGTGTATATAAGTGAGAGAGATTTTTCCACAGCCTCTGAAGCATATTTGTGAAGTTGTATTTAAAGATTAGCTTATTAATGTTGTGTTTCAGGGACTTGAAGGTAATTACTTTTACAGTTATAGATGGGCACTTGCTGTCTTATGAATGCAAAATAGGGTTGTTTTTTTCACTGTGCCTGAGTCAGCTCTTTGTGAATTTTCATGATATAAATGATGGTGACTTGGAAATATGTCTATGATGGCCATGCTTTGCCTCCACTATTTTTTTTATAAAGGCACAGGTCTTTTTCCCTAGTGCTACCTATAAGACTTCTGCAGGCCAGCTGATAAGACTCCCTCCTGTGCAGGTAGATGCAATGTAATGAAATTGGATGTGTGTGCTGGGCTTTGTAAATAAAATGAGATTGAACCCCCAGCCATTATCTCATTTATCTGATTTACATTGTAAAATCAGGATCTACACTATTGATTAGAGCATAATTAGTTAATTATGAACAGGAAAATACAGAGTTATGTGAAGCTAGAACACAGCAGGCTGTACTGCTGAAAAAATTTCAAGGACATGAGCAGATGGAGATCACTTTATTAAAGAACAAAGCAGACATGTTTCAGGTATGGAAATATCTAATCGACCTTTCTTGCTGTGAAGACATGCTTGACCTCCATTTTATGCTTACATCTGAACAATGTTTTCTTTCATCTGTTGTTAGCATTTTACTTGTTTAACTTATTAACCTAACTACTACAAATCTTGCCTGCCTTCCTCAATTTATCCACCTTTTTCATACAAAAGCAAGAAATCAGGTTCCTACCTTCCTTTTTGGAACCAGGGACAGAGCACTTCCTAATTTGGTATATGATGTGACTTGAAATGTAAGAGTAGTTGCATCTCTTTGGTTTTAAGCTAGTCTCATTCTCCAATTTCTTCTCATCAAAGTTCCAAAGCCAATAAGATGCCGGTCTACTTAACTGCCCCAGAAGTAACCTATCTGGACATCTCAGTGACAAATAAATCTCCCACAAATAATGACAGGTTCAAAATTATACTCATAAGCTATGAGTGCAAAAATGAAGGCTTGGTTTGAAAAGCTGGCCCTTTATGTGTACCATAAAGGTTTGAGCCAAATTAGTAGGATTAAAAATAGATAGAATGGAGTAATTTCTTCTGATTTACTCTTTCCTATGATACAATTGCTAATTTCCTATCCAAAGTACTTTGTGGGAGAGAGGGGTGAATTCGGTAGCTCTAGGAATTGATGATGCAGCATGGCTGCTTTTATCTATCACTATTTCAAATACAGCTGGACCTCTTTAATATCGTATGAAAATTGCCAGCAAGGGATTGCAGAGTAAATAGTGGATTATAGAGCCACACATGGTCTTAACTATTAAAAACACACATTGTTAAACTTGTAGCATACTTGTATAACAGAATCACAATTTGTGCTAGTCAGCATTTTGCCAACTTGACAGAAGACAAGAACTGATCTGTTAATTTGCCTCTAGAAAACCTCTTTGTAGATTGTGACTGAAGTACATGATTCTGGGTGGAGAAGCCTGCCCTATCAGTGTGCAGACTTTGTCTAATCTACAAATATAAATACTATACAATGCTGGGACTTTCAATTTGGTACCTTTCACTGTCACCAGATTAATTAAATTTTAATAATTTGAAGTAATTGTATGGCGTACTTTGATGGTCCTGTTTTCTAGATCTCTCTGTACATCATTACCACTTCTTTTGGCTGGGACTACAGAGCAGGAGAAGTGGTTCATCTTGCAGATCTTAATATGGACTTTGTCAGTTGCCATTGTAACTTAGCTGTCCAGCATAAGGCCACTGAAAATGTTTCCTCTGAAGCTGCTGCAAGTGCTAGACCATAATTCATGAGAGGTGCAATCATTTTGTTTTCAGAGATGAAATATATGCGAGCTACCTTTTTCTCCAAGAATTGTTCAGTCTTCTATATGTACTGCACAACAGTAATGCCAGAGAGTTGGGTCAGCATTAAATACTCTGTTTGATGGGTCCTGAATTTTGTTGTTAGACATCGTAACACACAGTGTACAAGCCTGCTATGGTAGAAGGCAGTGGCCAAATCCCATTGATTTTGATAGGAATAATATATAAAATAGCTATTTTAATTGATTTTTAGATTACATAGTGCATTGTCATGTTGCTGTACTCCCCCTCTTCCCTTCCCCACCCCTGAATCACTCTAAATTCCTATGTTAAAATCACAGGTGTAGGTTCTACAGTACAGAATAATTTTATAAAAACAATACAAAAGCAATCTTTCTTCATGGTATAGATCTGGATTGTATAAAGACACAGCACTGGATACTTTTGACACATTTTATTTGTGGTTATGTGCATGTAGACTAATGATACATGTACATTCACCAGTTATATATACATATTTTAAATAAAAGATAAAATACCTTAGTCTTTGGAAACTTCCATATACAAGTTTTTAATTTGGTCTATGAATAAGAACTTTGTGCTCAGACAAAATAAAATATATATTTTTTAAAGTTCATTGAATACACAAACAAAACTTGGCTGTAGGGTCCTACATCATGCATCTATACTCATAATGTGTTGGTCATTCAATTCCAGTTTACATATACTTCTCTAATAGATGTCTGAAACGTGGCTTCAGGTGAAATCAGAAAGTTGGGTATTCTAGAAGCGTAGAAAGGAGCTTTTAAAGTGTGGTTTTGAAGAGTAAAGATTTTATTTTCTTTAAGAGAATAATTTTGTTAATTATCTTTTTTTTCCAAGTGTTAAATGAGAGGTAAGTTCTTTGCTAACAGATTCCACTGTAGATTTTTAATGTAAAACTGAGTATAACTAGTATATATTAAAGTTGGATTGAAATGTAATGTTTGAGGATCTCTGAGCATTTAAAAAAAATGTGCTGTTGGAATATTTGAGCGTATGCTTTGCAGACTAAGTTTCAAGACATTGAATTCCTATTGGTTAGTAATACTACAGCCCTTTTCAATCCAAGGCAAAAGGCAGATAAATCACTTGCCTAAGGATGCAAAAGTTATTGACAGGAAATGGGTGCAGGAATCCAGGCTCACATCTCCTGCCCTGCCTCTTTTTTGTAGTCCCTGCTTACGTAAGAACTTTTAATTGTTTGTATTTCTAGTTCTTCCTGGAATATTCACTTAGGAAATGACAGTAACATATAAAGACATCACTGACAAGTGTCTTGGAGGGTCAGAGATTTCATTCTTAACATATGTCTATTAAGAAGTGGAGTCAACTCTAATATGTGCACCCTTAACAGAAACGGTAGAGAAATCTTTGTTTAGGTTACTAAATACTGCCACAGACTGGTTACTTGTTCATGTGAAGATTATAGTTTAAAGACAAAGAATGTGAATGTTTTTCTTCTTAATAATGATTGTAAATTCTTTTTGTTTAATCCTTTGTCCATTATGTGCTCTGTGTTCTGTTAATAATGCATTAAATATTTTTATTCTTGGCGTGATAAGGAATGCACTGTACCTTTATTTTAATGCGTGTGTAAAGGGGGCATTCTGCAAATTGAAGCTTGCTACAATTTTAGACATTTTTTTAAATGTTTACTTTGCAAGTTTTATTTTTGGATTTCTTGCCTTTTGAGTTCTTAATTCAAATATTTGAGACACCTAAATCAAATAGAGAGAATCTGACAAATTAATTTTAAAAAGCATTCCCCTTTGTATAAGAGGACATAGGGCAAATGCAACTAAAGTGAAGACAACTGCTTCAGTAAGATGAATGAATGTTCACAATCTGCTGTTAAATTTTTTCCCTGTTGAGCATGTTGCCTACTATAATTCTCTTTTCATGAAACACTGTAGTATATCTACTCAAATACTGTTTCAGTAGATGGAGAATGTCTGAGTAAAAAATAGCTGTGATGGATATTTCTGTCTGTTGTCTGAGCTACATGTAGTAAAAAAATACTATCAAAAGGTTTGTTAGTAAGTCCAGAATTGTGGTTTTGTCAGTTTTATAATAAGGAAAAGATGACAACAACATATATTTAAATAAAACTTTTCTAAGTAGAAAATCTAATTCTTACTGAATATTTGTGCAAACTTTTATTTCTACTAATTCATAAAATTGTGAACTCTGTATTATTTGGTTTACTAAATGTATGAGGAGATATTATGAAGGTTTGGCCAGGAAATGTGTAATGTAAAAAGTGCTGTAACTTGGAAAGCAAACTCTGTAAATTGTTGTTGCTTATACCATGGATTCTATACAACAACAATGTAGCTTGAAAGAAAAATCCTGAAAAATTTGCAAATTGTCCTGCAATATTTTTGGTTGATCATATATTGTAGCATTTGTTTGCAAAACTATTAAAAGACATATTTTCAACATCAGTGGGTGTTTGATAAATATGCAGAATATGTGCAGCTGTCTCCATGTTTTCTGCATCAGAATATTCCAAATTAAATAGAAAAATGTTTGAAATGTGTGACTTGTTAATGTAAATGGCCCTTCCTGAAAATGTTTTAAACCAAACCAGTGACCTTGAGATTTCGGGGTTCCATGTGTAAACAGCAATTTACCCTAAAGTGCTTATAGAGAGGTTTGATCGAATTGGTGTAGAAATGCAATATGTTTTTCCACCTGCAGGTGTGATGAATGCAGGCTCTGCTACCATTTTGGTTGTCTGGATCCTCCTTTGAAAAAGTCTCCCAAACAGACAGGCTATGGATGGATTTGTCAAGAGTGTGATTCTACATCCTCCAAAGTAAGTTAATTCAGCCTGTGAAAACTCAGAAGAGGTGCTCTGTTTTTGAGCAGCCTTTTCACTCGCTCGCACTCACACTCACACACACACTCTCACACACACTCACACACTCACACACACACTCTCACACACACACACACACCCTCCCTCTCTTCATCTTGCACTTGTGTTTGAATGCTATACATAAACCTGTGCTAAAAATCTTTGAATGTACGACAGTAAAGATCTCACTGTAAGGTTTTTATATTTGCGTTAAGTAAAGGAAGGAAAAATACAAAATGGAATTGTATTAATTGACAAAGGGTGGTTTATTTCTCAACATAATATTTTTATGAGATCAAAATTATGGTGGTTGCCTTCAAAATGAAATTAGTAAAATGCCATTTCATATACTGCTCATTAAAATATGGGAAAATGTTTTAAGTTTTTAATAATGCAGAAACCTGTAAAGATATGAATAGTAGATATTAAATAGTTGATATAAACATATTTATGAGTGTTGTGGAAAGAAACCTCTGTTTTCCCTTCGACATGCATCATTTGCAAGGGGTATTATTAAGTTATGATACTGTATGTTTATAGGACAAAATCACAGCTTTTTTACTTAAAATTCTTATTATTCAAACTTTCTTGTATTAATGCTTACAATATTTGTCCACTTCTGCCATATTAGGCCACAAAGGACAGATGTTTTGTTTTTACATTTTTCTTCATAGTACCTGCTTTAGTGTTGCCATGGCTGCCAGTAACCTCTGCATCCTTTAAAAAGATGCTACCAAATTGATTTCTCTAATTGGTTAATTAAAAGAAATAAGTTTCTGATGGAGCACAATTAAAATAATAGAGCTTTTAAAACTTATCTGAAATTTATAGGATTGTCTTTTGTCCTGATGAGGCAGGATGTTTTCAAAAAGGGAAAAACTCAAAAGCTGACTATACAGGGAAATGACTGCAAAAAAGTGTAGTCATGGAGACAAAGTTAAACAAAAAATAGAGCATAATTTTCAAGTTAACTTCTTTAGATTTTAATATTCTTTGGGAATGTTTTTTGTAAGCATAGTTGATATAAATTTTTAAGGCTGTGAGAAATGGGTTTCTTGGATTACTGGTATTCCTTTCCAGCAAGTGAAATAAGGCACTCTGCTTCACCAGGGGGTTAATCAAATCATTCTTTCTTAAGATACAAAGATAGACATTGGAAATTAGCTGTCTACTATGGTTTGGACATCAAGCAATCTTTCTTGAACACCACTTAAATACAATGGTCACTCCTAGAGTGAATTAAAATTGATATCGAATTCCTGTCAGCCTCTTAGACCAAAGGGTTTCTTTATAACATCAGTTAAAATGTTCTGTCTCCTATTTTTTTCAGAGTATTTCTACAAAGGAACTGTTATTGCAAAATGTGTATTTGGGTAGTTTGCCCAACTATGTATTCAGATAAAATGTTGTGTTTTTCAAATAATTAACTGGGAATTGATTCAACTTCTATTGCATTTTCTGTAGTGGATCTATTCATTTTAAGATTTCTTTTGTAAAATACCAGGGTCTTGGTGGGGGGCATGGAAATAAATTTACTAGGTATAATGGCTGTGTCATCTCTCTGTTAGGAAAGGAATCATGTTTGAAAACAATGCCTATTGACAGAATAATTTTCATTTTTAATCTGTAAGGGCCCATATTTAAAATTAAAGTTTAACAGCAAAAATCTTTACTTTTATTGCACTGTTTTAAACAAAGTTTTAATTTTTATTTGAATAACAAAGTAATGAATATCATGGGTACTGAAAAGTTGTCTTATGGGGACTCCTTGTGGTTTTGTTTAGTTACTTAACTATTTTTTTTTCTTGCAGAGCCATTCAGGGTAACTTATTTGAAATCCATGTTACTATCCATATTTAGAAAAGTCTTTATTATTAAATACACCACGTTTTTCTTTATTTAATACTTCATTGCATTGTAAAAATGTAGCAGCATCACGTTAATTGACTTAAACTTTTCTTATGGACTTTCTGTTATGTGAAGAAAAATTTTTAAAGGTGTATTTTTTTTTAATTTTTATTTTTCAGTGTCAATCTAGTATGTGGCTCTATAGTATACATTGTACATCCAGTACCCTACATGTATTCTCATTGCCAAGAAGATTTCAGAAAGTCTTTCTGGTCTCCTCCCTCCCCTGAACTAGAGGGGTGGTTCCTTGAATTTGAATATAAATCCGTTAAAAAGGAAGAATGTGAGGAAACTTGCATTGTTTGCTACACTCTTTCTGACCTATGTATAAATAGCAGACTTGGGCTAGCAGCATTTTCCATCTTTCACTCAGCCACTAAATCCAATTTTTGGTATGTCACAGCAAAGTTTCCTGTAAGGATTATGGCAGTGAAATAGGATTGTATTTTCAGCTTGTACCAAGAAGACTATTATGTAGCATCCTTCCCTTCAGTGGAGAAATCAAACTTTATAAAATAATATTTCTAACTGAAAATGAATAAAGAAAACTTATTTTATTCCTTTTGCTGTTCATCTTTTTTGATCCAATTTAAATAATTACCATAGTATGAATGTTAATATGAACCAGCTTTCCATATGTGTATTTTGCATAGCTATTTTAGCCCTAGAAAAAACTGACAATTTATGTTGGGTAAGTGGTCATTTATGGTATGGAAGCCAATACGTATTGTCCTAATAAAAGTGATTACATTCTCTGCTTTTCTAATTATAGTTTTCAAACTTAGAAGCTCAGTAACGCTTGCATAGTTTGCATACTTGTTTGCCTAATGAGTAAAATGATTTTTCAGATCTTACTTAAATGATTGCAAGTGGGAGAAATGAAGGAAATGTAATGGTTGTAAACATATGTTATCTATCACAAGCACTGTGCAGGCTACTTCCATTTTGCTCATAATATGTCACAGGACTCTGCAGCAATCTTGTCAGTTATTTCCCCACCACTGTAACATATTCCTATATTACCCTGTCTGTCAAATAATAGACAGACAGTGACTTTGCTGCAGGGCATGAGGGCAACATCTTCTCTGCCGGTAATACTGCCTGTCACTTTTATGGAATGGGTGATGCTCACTACTAAGGTCTGACGAGCTTTCTCATCTCAAAAACATTGTAGTTTTTGTTACATCACGTGAAACCTGAAATAAACCTATAAGCTAGCCATTTTCAATAACATTACCTACCTCCCTTGAAATTAGGTTCCTCTGCACTTTCAATAATGACAAATATTTGTTCGAAATAATGAATTTTACAATATTTTATAATCATAATAGTATAATATATTTGCATTCAACAGAAATTTATGTCTGATTTATATATTAGTTTATTAAGGTACAAGGTCTCTTTGTAAAGAGAAGATGGGGGATAGTGGGATACACTTAATATATTCCCTTCCCCTTCTTATTTTTTTTCCTAAATTAAAAAAAAAAAAAAGTACTTTTTAAGTGCCTCCTCCCAATTTAAGTTTTTGTGAAGAACCAGGGCAGCAAACGGTTTAAACATACATCATGTTAGTTACGACGACTTTGCTACTTACTTTTCCATCCTTTCATCCTTGTTTAAGATCTACTTTGTGAAAAGCTGCAGTGTACATGACAGGTCATTATTTGACTGTTGCAAGATGAGCTGCCTTTGCCTAGAGACCTCTATTTAGTTCACTTTTATTTCATCTTTCTACAGTACTGCACTTTTTTAGTGAAAATAAATTGTGAATGCATATGCATAGAACTCTCATCTAAATCCCTTATGGAATATTTTTTGAGCTACAAATCCACGATACACGAGCCATGGCAAATAGTAGTTTTTGCTCATCTTCTGTGCTGGAAAGCAATCTTGGATGGTTTTGCCTATGTTCCAATACTGAGTTGGACATTTCCTCCAATGAGTAACTTGCTTCAACACAATGAACAGGCAAGTTTAAATGGACGTTATGATATTGGAAATAGACTGACTAATCTTTTATGCATTATGAAGAATTAATTAGTATATTAAATTGAAAGTCATTTTATTGCAAATCTCTAACTTTTTCATAAAAACACTTTTTAAGAATTCAGCTATTTATATGGGATTTTCTTCTAATTAAAATTAAAATGGAGAGAGAAATGAAAATACTTAAAATATATAAAATGCAGCAAAAGGGAAACAAACTAACTTCATGTCAGCTATTTTTATAAATTATACAAAATTACTTACATGGGTAGGGTCTGTTACATAATAAATGAACAAGACTGCAAGGCTTTCTATAGGTGTTGGTAGAACTGCGTATTGTTTAAAGTTGACACTTTCTTTTATAAGACTCATTTGCTTATAGCTCTACAAAGCTTTCAGCATTTTGTTATAATTTTTTTCTACTGACTGTCTAACTCAAGGTGAGCTTTTTTTGGAAAATTTCAGCCAGAATGTTTGTGCCTGCAAGAACATTTTTTTTTTGCCCATATTAAAAAAGATTTTGGCAGGCACTTCGAAAATTTCTGGTGCTACCATGCTTTGGAGCACGTACTTGATATTTGGCTGATTTATCTTGTGTTGCTCCTGTGAAACCCTCTCATAATTTTACCAAGGAGTAAGCCTTTGAAAAATCAGAATTCACACCTGCTCAATAAAGACTTCTGTGCAACTAAAATCCATTGGAGCTGAGTAGGACTTGTTTTGTAATTGCAGAACTTTGTAGTTCTAGACGATTCTGCATCCATCACTAAGAAACATGTAAGCCTGAGCCTGGAATGTGTGGGCATGTTATGGGAACCAATGTGGCTTGAAAAAGGAGGCTGGAAGGCAATCCAAACATTGATCCAGGTGTTGAGAGTACTGGGACTGAAGGTGAAGTTACTTGTTACTCTTAGACCATGTGAATGGCACTATAAAACAAAAGTGTCCGCACATTAAAGCTCATTAACCCGCACCCAGTACATTTTTAGTATCTCAAATTATGCCACTTCGGGCAAGGATTTACTCTGGGCCATGGTACCTAGCTTCTGCTAAGGTAACTTTAA